TTTGGAGGTACCTTCGCCATAGGAAAGCCAAGTCCACGCCTATCCCAAGAAATCTCCAAGGGCTTCGGCCAACAATACCTCCAGCCTACTTCGGCTGCCACTCATGTTCTTTTCGCAGAGTACTTTTATCCATTTTGCAGTTGCACCCGATTTATCAGTCTGTACACATCTGCCCACCTGTCCATCCATTCCAATCCGTGTTGATATGTTGGGTCTGTCCATCTTTCGGTACACATGGCTCCACACCATCCCCACGCCGGGTACCAGCCAGCTGTTCTTTTAAAAGCACCACCCCCAGCCATGCTTGAGGGTGCAAGTCGCTGGCAAAGTACCAACCTTCTTCGATGCCTTAAAACAACCCAAAGCTGGGAAGTATGAGAACCGTAACGGGAACCAACGATCAACAACTTCCTATGGTTGATGGAGAGCCTTGGAATCTATGCCCAGCCATGTATTGGAACCTGGAACCAACGACTGGGAACTAACTACGCCACTAAAACATGGAAAGCTGGCAGGAACTTTCACGTGGGAACCATCAAAGAGAGGAACCGCCGAAACATGGGAAGCCTCAAAACCAACACACCTGAAGGACCAAAGTTGCTGGTTTTTTCGTACAACTTTAAAAGTTTGCCCGTTTTTCCAAAAGTTGTGCAACAAATCACAACTTTCCTAAAAACATACAACTTTCACTGAAAAGCTACAACTTTCGACTTTGTGCGAAAGGGTGTGCTGAAAGGGGGACAATCGTGCATTGCGGGCGCAATGAGAGCGTATTAACGAATGGTTTTGAGCGCACCCCTATATTTTGGGCTCTTGTTTTGTTTCAGTGTATCGTTTTTGCGTGCGAAAGCTGCTGGATTGCTCAGTTCTTATGAAGCCTGTTGCACTGACAGCTTATGTTTGCGTGCAAAAAAACAAATCTATACATTTAAGGCCACATCATTTTGGTGATCCTGCCCGAAAATTACGATGCAGCTGCGCATGTCAAATTCAACTGAGGTTGTTCTAAGTCTATGCAACTTGCACAACATATAACATCAACATGTTCGGGACCATGGCACTCAGCAATCGCAATGCTGAACATGAACACCCGAGGTGCGGTGAACAGTGTGATCTCAGATCGAAATTGATGGTAGGAGCTATTTTCTTCACATACGGGCAACGCTGCCAAGAGGCAGCCATGATTGTGAATTGTTTTGTGTTTGAGGATTGGGCAAATTTCGGGGGGCATCGCCGGTGTTCATCCAAATGCAACGGGTGCGAAGAAAACATCTACTCATGTGTTTACCTGTGTGTTATCGCATCTTTTAAAGCCAGTCGCGCAAAAGTCGATGCCACCGAGTGCCCACCGACGATCCCTTTTGAGTAATTGCGGGGCAACTGCGTGGGAAATTGCGCCGCTCGCAAGAACAACGAAGCGTAAAGTGGTGTGTTTTTCGCGTGAAAGTGGAGTAATTTGCCATGCTTGCCAAACAATTGCCATTTTCGCAAGTTCTCAGATCCACTTGCGCCCCTTGGCCTCGGAAACCGACAAGATGTTACTTTGCAATACCAGAGTTTTGCTTGAAGTGTTTTCATGGTGGAGTCGGGCAGTTTGCTTAAAGTGTGGTAGAAGCCACGGGTCGCAAAGGTGGAAAGCTTTATGCCTCACAGCGACAAACAACAATGGGCGTCACGCTGAAAGCTGTTCTCAGGCCGCTTCGCAAATGGCAAAGTACAAAAGTGGCTGGCGTGGATAGATACAGGCAAATCATCCGTCGGATGAATCTGAAAGATATTGTTCAAGCTCACGCAAAGAATATTCAAAAGCTCTCCGCCTCAACTTTCATGATTCCTCCTCTTTCCATCGCAAGCTTCCTTGCAGCGGAGATTAACAGGAGACATCATGCTCAAAGCTGGAAGTTTGCGTTGTTCACGGCTAGCTAAAAAAAAAAGAAAAAGGAGTGTCGACACTGTCTGACTGTGCGACTGATAGTTGCACCAACCAGCGTGGTTGTACGAACATCGTCACACTTGTCACCCACGAGCGTTTCAGCCAACGCAGCGGAAATTTCGGGCGCTGACGGTGACCCGCCCATCAAATCGCTGAAAAAACAAGATTTGCAGCGCTCGCAAACACAACAGAACAGTTGCTGGGCAAGCAACTATCGTCCAACATGAGGACAATTTTTCTGGTTACTGCTACAAAGGAGTCGTTGCCATTAGACTAGCTGCCTTAGCCCAGTCGGAAACACACCACTATTTCAACAGTTGTGTATGTTTTCGCAACTTTCGTTGGTGCCCCATTTTTTCCAGCAACTTGGTTTTCCAGGCATGTTCTACAGTGACCATGAAGGGACGCAATGCCACGGCGAAAAAAAACAAAAAAAACACTGCCAAAGACGAACCTCAAGGGGCCAACAGGGAAGGTGCCGGCTACAAAGGGGGTTCACCAATCTGCAGGATTCAACACCTACATCATAGTTTAATTTACCCGCAGCTCGCCATAACATAGGCAGCAAAGAACCCATCCCATGTTGGTCCTTTTGAAGAGTTGATTCCCCTTTCTGTCGAAATACTGTGGATGGACGAAATCCTGCTCCACCCAAGAAACCCTGCGAACCGGAGTTCGTCCATCCACGGTATGTTTTATTCCGAGCTTCTCCATTCCATAGACTCCCATTCCGGCCGGAAAATTAGAACCCCGCATTTCGGCGGGGTTTCCAGGTGTCAAGTGAAGTTCCCATGTCTTCAAACATCACACCAGCAAAAGGAAGCTGGTTGGCTCCAGGGCGATGTGTAAAAACCACCGAAGGACAGGGACCTTTGTTCTGTGGGTCCTCTTTTCGTCGTTGTGTTAAAGAACCACGTAAGGAAAACCCAGAGAGGAAACCTAGGGGTGTGTGTCAAATAGAGTTTCCAAAATGGGCGGGTTTCCTGTTGAACTCTCGCAACAACCACCCTAAAACAGGCAACCCTCAACTTCCATTTGCTTAGGTCCCCCTGGAAGAAAATGCAAACATGTCCAGCAATTGGTGATCGAACCCCTGAACAAAAACATCAGGGGGAAATGAAACGACCGCAAAACAAACGCTGTGATATTAAGTCAAGTCCAAACACAAAACCTATACTGGAAGTCCAAAATAACTCCAAACACCAAACAAAAACTGTCCCAAAGAAACGACACCACACAACTTGCCAGGGTGACAAGTCTACGGATACGCCGAGGACTAAACCAACAAAACGCCAAGCGGAAGGGGTCCGGCATCAACGAAAAACAAATGATCAAACACATAAACATCTCAGGATTAACATATATACAACAAAAATATCACATCCCCGAGTCCGCGCGCGGGACGTTTTGTCCAGAGAAACGACGCAGGGATTCGACGCAACGCCCGGCCTCCGAGTCTCTGAGTTCTGCTTTGAGCTTCTCCTCCCGGCGCCGGGACTCCTGCGACCGGAAGGACCTTTGGTCCCCCCAGAGGCGAGACCCTCCGAGATGGATTTTTCGTGGTGTCCTCTATGTTTTATTTTGTCTTTGGCGGGGTCCTTTTTCAGGGAAACCCCACAAACAAAAAGAATAGATGGGTGTTCTGAGGCCGAATTTTCCGTTTTCTTCACTCATCATTCTGACTATAAAGAAACCATCTATTTTCAACCGGCTGGCCCATGTCGTGAAGAGGAGGTTTCCTGTTTCTTTCTTTTGGGGAGGGCTCATGCCAGCCCAAACCGAACGGAACCGAACCGCTATGCGACCCATAAAGCAGATCGTAGCCCCCTGTCGAGTAACCTGGAGGCCAAAAGAAGTCCTTCCCCCAATTCCACGTTCACCAGCGAGAGAGCGCCATCCGATGACCGGGCACAGAACCGGACCTCTCCTTCCGAGAGGCTCCCATTCGATTGACCTCGGGCCTTCAAATAACCGAGACCCCCAAGCACCAATTCCCGGGGTGTTAATGGGCTCGGGTCTTCCATTGAAAGCCGAAGCCGATCGGAGCCTCTGGGAATTCAAAAAATCCCGCAACGTGGAGGGGTGGTGAAACGTCTGGGCTTCACTGCGCCTGGCTCGGAACTAAGAAGTTTTTTTGGGACTGAACCTGGGGATTCCCCTCTCAAGCCACCTAGGTCCTCCAGAGAGGTTAGAAGAAGGGTACCCTTTTTCGGTTTTGGCTATTTTAGTAGGGGAACCCTCCCAACCAAAAAAAGAACGGTGAGAAAGGGCACCTAGCTGGGGGACCTGGCCACCAAGCAGAAGAGAGGGGACCTTTGGTCCTCGTTTTCCCCCTCCTCCAGGTCTGCCTCCAGCGCATGTACCCTGGCAGCCTCGTGATTCGTCGATTCGGTCCGCGCCACTTGGCTCGCGTTCTCAGGTCTCAGCGTTTTTTTGTGTTTGTTGTTTTTTGTTTCCCGGGAAAAGGGAAACGGCTAATTCATCATATGACTGTCGGTCAAAACTGGGACCCAAAATAGAAGCCAGTTTTAAATGGAACCAAGGACTCAAATCTGCGGTTCTATGGTGGTTTAATTTTGCAAAAATACAGTTGTGGTTGGGACCATCCATTTCAACCCATTCGGCGGGGGTTCTGATAGACCTATGGGTGCTGAAGGAACCCACCTTCTTGTGGTGTGACGCGAAGCCACACTCATGCCACTTGAAGGCGGCCCCAATTGGGCACAGTGTTTATATTCAGTTGGCGACCCAGTGGCACTTGCATGGATTCCATGTCAACCAACGATTTTCAGGGAATTTCCTCAACAAAAAAGGAAGTCACAGCCATGTGGGAAAGGACAGGTGGTTCTCCTATCCTTTTCACGCCTGGTCAAGGTGGGGGGGCGGCCTAGAATCAAACACCACTACCTGCTATCTGTTGGTTTCCTGATAGCAAAACCCGACAATCCTTGGTCATTTCTCCAACCGCCGGCCCCATGAAGGGGTGGGCCCCCCATCTCCTTTTCATTACCCTCTAACTTACTACCCACACCTCCAACGCTCACCTTGCCTTTTGCAATTGATGTTCGCCCTCTTTTGCACTGCTCTTGTGAACTCCCATCAGCGGCTTCATAACGCGCGCCCTGTAAAGCGCACGCCAACACCGCGTGAGGCGGTTCACCGCATGGCTGACGCCTCAGTCGTTCGCCTCCTTGACATAAATCGGCAGCAGCTCCTTTTCCCGAGCCGAGCCAAAAGTCCAAAGCGGTTGCAGGAAGTGCCATGGATTGACGGGTGGCTGGCACCGCCTTCTATAAACCATCCCCTTCAAGAGCTCTTCAAAGGGGTCCAGTGGTTCATTCCCGAGCGAAAAAACCGTTTGATTCCCGGAAGGCAAAAACGAACAACACGTGGCCGAAGAAGTCAGTCCTCAGCAGGGAATGAGAAATGGAATGACCCTTCTTTCCAACCCATCCAACTGGCGGTTTCCTAGCGGAAAAAAAGGCTGGGTTCATTCCATTTCTCATTCCCTGCTAGGTCCTCCAGTAGAGAGGTTAGAATAAGGGTACCCTTTTTTCAGGACGTCTATTTTAGTAGGGGAACCCTCCCAACCAAAAAAACAACGGTGAGAAGGCCACGATCCTGAAAACCTAGCGCCTACCTATCGCGCCAAGATGGGTGTGTCAAAACAAAACCACCAGGGACCGCAGGTTTTCCTCCATGTTGCCACATACCAGGCTTTTCCATTTTGGGGTCGCCCCATTTTTGACCAACTTCCAGACACCTCCCCAAACAAAGTTACCTAGCTGGGGGACCTAGCCTACCTATCGCACCAAGATCAGCCATGCGTCGTAGAGCTTCCCAAAGTACGTGAGCACCAGCACGGCGCAGACGTCGGAGATCAGCATCAGCGGCAGAAACTCCATTCCTGAGCTTCGAGGTCGCTGGTGACTCACGTGCCCGACATACTGTGGGTGGACGAACCAGCCAAGAAACCCTGGAAAGATGCTTCCCCTGTAAACACCAATGAACAATGGTTTTCCATGGTTTGAAAGTGGTGCAGGATTTCATCCATCCACAATATGGCCGCCTGTTTGGTGCGCAGTGCTGTCCTTCGCCTTTTTAAGGGGTATACCAAAAAGGACACCCAATTTGGAGAACACCAAACGTGTCCAATGGCACCCTTGTGTGTTTGTTCGATTGTTTGCCATGTTTGGTTGTAGGCTTGTTTATTAGTAGATTTGCTTGCTTGCTTGTTTGTTTGTTGGTTTGTGTGTTTGGCTGTATAAAGCGCACGCGCCCCGCGCGGGTTTGGAGTGCAACCCTTGCTGCCAGACCTCTGCCCCGGAAGAGTAGGCGATGCCCGCCAGCCTCGTGGTAGAGGCCCAGCAGCACGTAGGCCGGCACCACCAGTTGCCAGTCCAGAAAGTACGCCATGGACGACAACACCTCAACGGTGAGGGGGATGAGGGTGTGTGGGGATGGGGGTGGGAATGGGGGGGGGGGCTGGGGGATGGGGATGTGGGTGGTGGGATGGGGGTGGTGGGATGGGGGTGGTGGGATGGGGAATGGGACATCGATGGGGGATGAGAGTGGGGGATGGGGGTGTGGGGGTGGGATGGGGGTATGGGGATGGGGGGTGGGGGATGGGGGTGGGGTGGGTGGACAATTGTCTAAACATGGTTGCACAAACAAACAAACAAACAAACATACAAGCAACTATAAGCAAACCAGCAAACAAACTGGGAAGCCAACATGTCACCATGTGGGTGTGGGTCGAAATCAAACCACCACGAAACCGCAGGTTTTAGTCCATGTGTCCATTTATTAAGGTTCCATTTTGGGGTTACCCTGCTTTTGACCGATATTGACCCAAAGCCAGATAAGCCATGCTTCATTGCACAGACATTGTTGCACAAACAAATACACGAGCAACAAGAGGCACACTAACAAACCAACTGAGTAGCCAACATGTCACCATGCGGGTCAAAATCAAACCACTACGAAACCGCAGGTTTGAGTCCATGCTTCCATTTACTAAGGTTCCATTTTGGGTACCTACTGTGGATGGACGAAATCCTGCACCACTTTGAATCCATGGTAAACGGTAAACCATTCTTTGTTTTTACAGGGGCTCGAATCATTCCAGGGTTTCCTTCAGTGGTGCGTTGCGTGGATTTCGCAATCGCGAAACCACCCACAACACTTTCGACCCACGGCCACTGACTCGGGTGGGGCTCCTTGCGCCAGGTCCAGTCGTCCCCAAAGCGCCGCGCCAGGCAGTGGCTCTCCACCAGCAGCCCCGCGCAGAAGAGGATCCACTTCACCGCCGTCTCCTCGGGCATTTTTTCGGCGCGGCAGCGGGAAAAAAGCGCCAAGGAACGTGGGCAGAAGCGGGTCCCAAGCACAACCTGATGTCTTCAGGGCCTTGACCTTTTTGGTTGTTTGCCGCCTCCATGGCGGGGAATCCGGGATACCTGCAGGTTTGTGCCTGCATTTGGGGGGGGGACCCATATGGGTATGGGTCAAAACTAAACTACCAGGAATTGGACGGCAGGTTTTAGTCCATGGTTCCGTTTACCAGGGTTTCTTGTTGGGTACCTCATTTTGACCCACAGCCAAGCAGCGTGCCGCCCAAGCCAGACAGGTTTCCACAAACACAGCCACAAAACAGCCCAACAAAACTGCAAGCGCAGTTTGAGGGGCAAAGAGACCGTTGGAACGTTGCTCGAAAAACCACCCAGCCGGCTGCAAAGCGATCTCCCGAGATGACCCTAAAGATACTGTCGCCCCCATCGGCCCGAAGCCATCAGAGTCTCTGCCTGGGTCGTTGCTGCCAGATCGAGCTGTTGCTAAGCAGTCGGTTGAGACACAAACTGTTGCCGGTACACATGGAAAACCGCTGTGTCTGTCCTTGCTTCCCTGGAAGAATTGAGCACGAGTTTGACCCAACATTCTCAGCCCGAGTTTTCCTGGCCATGTCCGAGATACTTTGTCTCGCGAGGACAGTGAGCTAAAGCCGTTCGCGTGGGACCTTCACGAGTAAACTCAGGGACTCAGGGACCCAGATTATGGTCAGACCCGCCATTGAGCGCCAGTTTATACTCTCCTGCGGATAAACATGCAGAGAAACAACCTGCTTGTATACAGTAGGGAAACTCCTTTTTGGGGGATCCCTTCTTCCCCCTCGCGGTCCTTGGGCTGCAGAGGCAGCAGCGGCATCACAGAGAAGGCGCTCACAGTAGACAAGGCCACGGCCAAACGCCCCAAAGGGTACCTCAGCTTCTGTCTGGAGCTTGGAGCCCCCAACCTCTACAAGAGAACCAGGCGGTTCTTGCACTAAACCACCAGTCCAAACCACAAACTATAGGGATTGCCGGCGTTGACATTTCTGTGGGAAGCAAAATGCCCCAGCAAGAGGTTTCCTTTCTGTCTGTGGGGTGGTTTCCCGGTGGCTCTCTACAAGAACCTTTGAACATCTTTGAACTTCTTGTGCCAAGCCCTGCGTGCCGTCGACAGCGTGCTTCCATGCGGATTGACCAAATCCTGTAGGCAAGGTGGGTTGTCCCATTCATCAGGTTCTATCCATGTGGATATGTTTCCTCCGAATGGGTGTGTGTGTGTGTGTGGCGTTTCAAAACCCCAAAGAGGAGCCCTCCAAACGCACATGCGCGTATTTATGCAGTCCCTAAGTGGAGCTACGGAGGGGTGGGTAGTTGAGAGCGACCCGGTGATTCAGGAGTTCCAATTTATCGTTTACAAGAAGGGGCTCAAATCACAAAACCACCAGGACCCAAACCACCACTTGCGGGCTACCTGTCTTGGTTGCTGTTGACCCCCCACAAAAAAATGGGGGGGTTTAGTGGAAAACCCAACCTGATTTCAACGAAAAAGCTAAAGCCTAAAGATCCACCCCAATAGCAGTACCCCCAGTGAACATCCCAATCCCCACTAAAATAGGTTCTGAAGTGGGCGGTGCACCTACCACAAAATGGGGATCCCAAAACGGTTTTCACCACCGGGCCACCTGACCTAAAACGTCTTGGAACGCAAGATTTCCCAAGGGCGCCGGTTGGAGTCCATGCGGATCGAGGCCGCCATCAGCGGCACCGTGACCATCAGAATGGCCTCCGGAGAGGTTCTGGTCCCTCCCAGAAAACTGTCCCCTTTTAGTGGGGGGTTCCTCACTTTTGGAGGGCCCACCCCCTATCCAAAAAAGGAAGGGTGCATGACTCCGGGGCCAACCTTACCACCCCTTTCCCCCCCCTTCATCCCCCTACCCCCCACCGACCACCCGGCATTCTTTCTGTCTTTCTCTCTCTTCTGTTTTTCTCCGCCTTCACCCCGCCACCCCCAAGCCCCCCACACAAAACCACCACTGCCATCAGCCCGCTGCCCAAAACCGACCCAGCGCCCCGGCCGCCCGAACGGCCCACCGAACTGGGATCGCAAAGACGACTTTTGTGTGGCACCTCAGGGGTCCGGACATGAAAAACAGCCTTGGGGGGATGCCCCAAAAAGTGCGCCCTATTTTTTCTCTGTCAAAACCGGGATCCTTATTACTATACACCTGAAGATGGCAACTTGCAAATGGTGGTGCTTCCCTTTCTTCACTTTGGGTGTGGAAAAAGCACCATGTCTCAAATGGTGGCAAGTTGTATCTTTTTTGGGGCGCCCTGCTCATGAGCATGGCTGTTGGGGGGTATTGTAGGGTCGTTCAGTAGCTCAGAAGGTACTGAACGAAACCCTCTGGGAGAGGAGAAACCGCGCTGGAAAGCATGAGCCAAGTGCAACAAAACCGCTCCGGACGAGTAACACTCGGCAGCCAAGAACTCCATCCGATTCTTTGGTCAACATCTTCCTTGCGGAAACCGATCCGAGCACCAAGCTTCAAGTGATTCCGCCGTCACTCTGCCCCACCATCAGGTCTGGATTCCACGTGGTTGCATGTGGTTGGGGGGTAGGAACCTCCCGTACATACCGGGAAACTCAGCTTTGAGCTGCATTTCCTACCACGGCATCGCACCATTTCGGGGGAGGCTGTTCCTTGGCAGGTTGGGGGCAGCCTGCCGCATGTAAGAGCTATCCCATCCAGAGCTCTCCTCAAGTTCTGAGGCAAATCGGGACCATGCCCTGCTTGCGCTCCATGTTCATTGCTTGGTTGCTTTCTGCTCCCCTGCCGAAAGTTTAACTTTTAATGGTTTAATGGGAAAACTCATTTGTTGGCAAAACAAAAGTCCTAACATCCAAGCAACATGCACCAAAGATCTGTTGTGGGAGTAAAGTAAGTTTAGGAAGCCTGATGAAAGCCTTGCCCATTTTGTCCTGCATGGCTATCACCAACTACTTTCCCTAAACAAAAGAAACGCGGAGCCGGCCCGCACGGGAACAGATCCTTCGAAGGGCATTTCCTCACAAGGCCCCTCTGCGCCTTTTCTCGATTGCTTTCTGCTTCCCAGTTAAAAGTTTGACTTTTAGTGGTTTAGTGGAAAACCCATTAATCTCTTCCCCCAATTAATGAATGACCCCAATTAATAATAAATGCAAATCCGGGGCCCGGGACCAGATTTCCACTCCACACAATTGATTTTCCATTGCGCCAATACTAAACCAATACTAACGTCTTGGAATCCTTATTAGGGGGCACTTTTGGCAAGCTTCCAGCCTCACTTTTCAACAGGTGGGTTCCTCAATTCCCCAAAAGGTTGCTTTCCCAAAAGCTGGCTTCTCAAAAGGTTGGGTTCTTTTGGTGGGTTCTAGCTGCGACTGTCTCTCTCCCGTACATGCTGGCTAATTAACCTGCCTGTCTGCAAACAAACAACCAGTAAACTGGTAAACAAATAATTAGAATGATACATCAAATTTCCTTCGACTCGCGGACCTTACAATTCAATCCATTTCATCCAAATCCTACGTGAACCCTCACATTGTTGGAAAAGCAAAAAAAAACCAACCCCAAAAAACCCAATTAAAAAACATATATTTTTGGGGGGATTTATTTATAATAGGGGGGGGGCGTATTTATTAATAGGGGGAAGAGATTAGTTGGCAAAAAGTTAAAGTCCTAACGACCCTTGGCAAAATGAACCAAAGTGTTTTTTGTGGTCAAGCGCCAGTCCAACCTGTGCGAAGTCTTCAACGGAAATTCCTGTGTCGAAACTCCAAGAGGAATCGCGAATGAGTCGGCCGTGGGTCAGATTAGATACCCCCAAAAATGGAACCCCGGCGCGGGGAAGGCTTGGGAAAAGCGAATTTGACCATGGGTATGGGTCAAAATTAGTCACCACCAGGAATTGGACCGCAGGTTTTCCATTTTTGCCAGATTGAGAAGAGCGTTCTAAGAGTGCTGCGCAGTGGCGTTGAGGCATACACGTCATTGATGATTTCTGTGTGGCGCGTTTTGAAAACAAGCCCATTTCATCGGCCAACCGTAAAGGCCAGGCATGGAGAATCGAGTCTTCGAAAAAAAAAAAAAAGAGGAAAAAAACCGCCCCCAACATGGTCGTCCGTTGCAAGCGACCCCAAGGAAGCTCCGCAGTAATAAACCTCTGGTTGATTCATAATGGATGTCCCCTCCCCCTGTCAAACAAGAAGCGGTTCATGAATCCGGGGCCAACATTGCGACCCCCCTTCCCCCCCTTCCCCCCCTTCATCCCCCCACCCTCCCACCGACCACCCGGCATTCTTTCTGTTTTTCTCTCTCTTCTGTTTTTCTCCGCCTTCACCCCGCCACCCCCTACCCCCCCTAGGCCCCCACCACCCCGACATTCTTCTCCCCCCAAAACCCCCCAAACCCCCCAAACCCCTCAAACCCCCCAAACCCCCCAAACCCCCCAAATTCCCAAACCCCCCAAATTCCCAAACCCCCCAAATTCCCAAACCCCCCAAATTCCCAAACCCCCAAATTCCCAAACCCCCCAAACCCCCCAAACCCCCCAAACCCCCCAAACCCCCCAAACCCCCCAAACCCCCCAAACCTCCCAAACCTCCCAAACCCCCCAAACCCCCCAAACCCCCCAAACCCCCCTCCGCACTTTTCCGCCCCGCCTTCTCTGCCCCGCCTTCTCTGCCCCGCCTTCTCTGCCCTCCTTCCCCGCTCCCTCCCCCCAAACCCTTCCCCCAAAACCCCCTCCCCTCCCCACCTACCCCAGCAGCCGGGCCATTTTTTGCCCCCGCCTTCTCGTGCACATGCCAGCCGAAGGTAAAGGCCACCGCCGAGCCCAGCGCCACGTAGAGCGCAAGGCGCCCCTTCTCGCGGCTCTCCGCCTTCGTCACCTCGCGGGCCGTTGGGATTAAGTATCATGGTCAACCTCCGAAATACATCACTGCAGTCCCCTGTCACGAAGCAAGTCAAACTGAATGTTGCGTGGCGAATCTGGGTTGCCTGGGATTGCCGTAATGGGCCCCAACACAATTCGCCCAAATGGGGGTGGGTCAAAGGGAAGCAGCAAGGCCCCTTGCCCAAAACTGTCGTAGTGGCAGCCCTTGACCCAAAAGCTTTCAAAGGAATCTATTTCTATGTGGCAAGCCGGTGAGAAAGGGGTCAAGACTCCCCTGAAAAACATCTTGCGCTGTGCACCTGTCCAGGTTCTGGACATGGCCCGGGCCGGAGCCTGCCTGCCAAATGCGCACCAGCAAAGGGCCGTAGGCCAACAACGTCAGCACGAAGGTGGCCGGCGGTGGCACGGTCCACAGCACCGCGGACTCGTAGACCTCCGGAGCGTGGGAAGTTCAGTGACCGCTTCACAACTTTCGGCCTCTACCTCGTTTCCCCCCCCCCCCTGAAAGCGTAGCTGTTTCATTGTGGTCCCTTTGACCTCTTCACAACTCTCGCCCTCTTCTACCTCAGCTTTCACCCCTGGAAAGCGTAGCCGTTTCATGGCATCTGGCTCTTCCTCTTCTACCCTCTATTTTTGTGTTCCCCGCCCCCGAAAGCAAAGCCGCTTGATTGCGTTCCATAGGACGTCTTGGAATGGCCCCTTTGCTGTTGATGAAGCCGAGGGAGCTACGCATAGCCCGTCCACACCATGCGCAGTGGGGGTCCGGGACCGGGGCTGCGTAAGTCTAGGTTGAGGGATCTCTGATAACATGGACAGGTTTCTGCAAGCTTCAAAACCGGACCCAAAAAAGGGACTCAGTTGCCCAAAGGACCTGCAAAGAACAGGAAAGCCTTTTGGGACCCTTACTAAAAGCGGGCCAGGGAAAGCGAAAAGGTTGAAAGGTTGGCTTTGACTTTGAACAACTGAAGGGAATCTTCAGCTTCCTTCTGATTGGTGGTCTAGATTGGTGGCTTCGTGGATAAGGGCCGGTTTCCCATCTCTCTGCAACAGCCAGAGCTTCAAATCCGTATCCAAGCCACCAATCCAAGCAAGCTCAAACCTGGGGGACCATTGGCCTTTGTTCTAGGGGCAACTTCCATGTCCATTCTTTCCGAATCTTTCTAGAAACCACCAAACACCCCGGGAAAATTGCGATCCAGTTGTTGAAAAGAACGATGGCTGAAAAGAATGCACAAGGAATCAACCCCAAGAAAAACGCCCGGCCATGGGTAGGGGTAGTAGGGGAAGGGTAGGGGTAGGGGGTAGGGCTAGGAGTAGGAGTTGTAGGTAGGGGTAGTACGGATAGGGTAGGGGAAGTGAATTCCAAAGTGAACTCACCGCAAAAAAAAGAAAAGAACAAAGAAAGACAGAGGGTGGTGGTCCGAAAAGGTGGCCTGGTAAAACATGGCCTCGGCATGTTTTTGACCCACGGCCTCGGCAAAGCCAGCCGTCGATGCGCTGCCTGACTTGGAGCCCACCACCTGCCGGCTCGGCTGCCGGAGTCGAACGAGAAGCCCAAGGGCCCCAAGGGTTGTCCCGAACTGTGGCCGAAGGTTGTCCCGCAGCAGATTCGCCATGCTCTCTTGAGCCCTTTGCGCTTTTCTTTCAAAACCACAAAACCCCAAAAGCACACACACCAAAAAAGCCAAAACCAACTCCCCAGCGGCCCAATTTTCTGGCGACGCACTCGACTTGACTCGTGGTGCCTTGGCCAGGACTCGGTCCAGGGTGTTGTAGAGCGCCCAGCAGTTGGGCGCCCAGTAGGCGTGCGTGAGGCCCCGGCCGAAGGGGAAGAGGCGCTTCAGAAGCTGCGGGAGCTGCTGGAGGAAGGGGCCAAGAAGCACCTCGCACCGCGGCCTTTTGGGGGTTGGACTTCCCAAGAAACATCGGCCTTCATATTTCTCGGGTTGGGGGAAGACGAAAACATCACCCACACACTTGTTGAAGACTCAATGAGTCCGGAGGTGTGTTTGGGAATCAAAATGTTCTGCTCAAGTCGGCACAGCACGCGCTTGCACGTCTAAACCAAGTTCCGCGCCTACCCCAAACTCTAATTGATGCCGACTCGAACTCTAACACCTTGCAATTTATCAAAGCTGGCGCATGCCAGGCATAAAAACAGTCTTTCAGAGGTCTCTGTGAAAGTCGGAATCTCAGAACTTCCAGTGTCACGGGGGGAACTTGTTGCGGAAACGCAACCAGGAGGGGTGAGGGGGTGAGGCAGCGGGAAACATGCTGACACAATCGGCGTCGTGCTAAGGCAGAAAGACCAGGAATTTGGCATCTCGGTGAGGAAGTAACCGGCAATGTTTCGCTTGATCCGAAAGTCTTGAATCGGCTATGTTGGTTGCAAAGCAGAATCTGAGCCCAGCTAAGGCACCCGCAAACTGTTGGTTCAAGCATGAGCTGATGAACTGCTTCAAACACCTTTCAAACAAGCGAAAAATCCCCAGGGCCTGATTTCAGCCTATCCCCTAGCAGGGTCTGGCTATTGAATTCCAAGCATGCGAATTACAAATGGCAGCCTTTGCCCCCGCAAAAGGTGAAAGAATGCCTCAGAGTTTACTCCTATCATAACTCAAGGTGGCTTTACTCCAGTATCGGATCCCTGAATCCCATAGCAATCGCCAAAGCCATCGCTCCCCCGGCTTTGCTTGAAAAAACCGCCGCCGCAATGCATGACCAACCCAACCCGGTCGCCTTAGCCCGATGGGGCCGGATCCTTCGTTCTGGGCACTGGGAGCCCGTTTCGTTGAGCTCCATGAGCGAAGCCACTGCTCCCATGAGCTCCCAGCTTCCCCCAAAACATATTCACCCACCAAAATGGATCCACCTTTCCGGGGGCCAAGAGGCTTAAAAAGGTCCAAAAAGGGAAATCTAGGGACCTTTTTGCTGAACTTGCGGCTGCGATACGTAGGGAATGAGAAATGAAAGGAACCCAGGGAGTCCCTTCAAGGAAACCACAAGAGATGGTTTATCAGGGTCATTCCATTTCTCCTTGCCTCCCTATCGCGCCAGCAAGCTCTTTTATGTTTGTTTAAACTCGCTTCATGGGCGTGACCTATGGAAATCCCATCCGGGAGGTAGGTACAAGGAGGGGGTTGAGATGTTGACCCCACATTCACCAACCCCAGATGATCCATATGGGCCGCGTCCCTATTGGAGATTCAGACCACTTTGGGAGGGGACAAACCCACCCCGATTCACACACTCGGGTTGATTCATATGGGGTCAGCCTTCGGGACTTCGGGGGTTGGGGGAGTTGATTCTCAACGCATGGCCTTTCAGACTCGAAAAAAGAAGAAGCGGAAACGGGGATTTAAAGCCCAGCTCCTTGTCGCACTCCACTTGGTGGAAGGTGCCCCTTACCAAAGCAAACCACCAAGTGGGGGTAACTTTGACAGGGATCTTTACATGAAAAGCACCTGATCATTGCCTTGTACAGGATGTTGTTTCCCTGCATTCTGGTGCTGAAAAAGCCACATGTTTCAAATGGTTGCAACATGGAAATTTCTTTTACGGAGCCCTGAGAAACTTTTGGGACATTGAGTTCCACGGTCTTGGAACTTTCGGGTCCACGCTTTTGGCTTTCTTTTGGGTCCGTTGCAGAAACTTTTAAGTCCACACTTTGAACACCTTGGCTCCTTAGGATTTCCCAAGAGGCAATTTCGAGCCTTTAAAAGGAGCAGTAGAAAACCCCCCCCCCTTAGGGCCCCCCCCCCGTTCCCTATGCTTTCCCTTGCTTTTTTTCCACCAGCCCTTGAACGGGATTCCCTCAAAGGACGCCACAAGGGAAGCCACAGGGGATGCTTTAGGGAGGGGAACCTCAGTTCACGCGGTTTGTTAATATGGGGGTGTTTTCTGGGTTTAGTGGCTAGGTCCTCCAGATTTGAGAGGTTAGAATAAGGGTACCAACTTTTTTCAGGACGTCTATTTTAGGGGAACCCTCCCCAAAAAAGTTGGTAAAAGGGCACTACTGGAGGACCTAGGTGGGGAAGGGACATAAACTGAAGCTTAATCCTCGTGGGGTTTCGTGGGGAATGGACATAAACTGCTTGGTTGCTGCTGACCCCCCTGCAAAAAACATATATATATATATATATATGTATATATATATATATATATATATATTTTTGGGGGGTTTTCTGCCTACAGATCCGTTACCCAATAGCAGCCAAGACTTCGGCTTGCCTCTCTGGGGTGAATTTTCGGTTGGCAAAGGCGCCAGCAAAGTGCCCAGCACCGCTAGCCCCAGCTTCACCAGGCGACCCCAGCGCAGGAAGGGGAATTGGAGCCGGGCATCGCAGTGGGACCGCAGCAAAAAGACGAAGAAGACCGGGGCCACGTAGAGGAAGATGTGCCTCGAAATGGATAAAACCCCGAGCTTCCCTCGTTTGGTGGGAGTGGCGGTTCCTCTTGGTGGTTTGGATGTCCTAAGCTTCCCCTCTAACTAGTTGGTGGTTTGGAAGCGTGGGAGGTTAGCGACGTTCCTTTGCTCAAGGCTTTGCCTTGGATTTGAAGAGAGCTTCCGCTACCACAAACCCAAAAGGCAAATCGGGCTTACTTCCTTTGGAAAAAACCCTGTGCATTTGCCTGCGTAGAAGGGAAGGTACCGTCGCACCAAACTGAGGTAACTACGAGCGACTATATACATCTATACCTACTTCATGTTTGCCGCTGTAGTAGCTGTACTGTGGCGTGGAAAAACGAGCAACATCGAGCAACCTTTGAAACAAAAAAAAAAAAACATTGATGGCATTGGGGCGGTAACCCTTGCGACGCGCCCTCCAGAGACGAAACGGAAGGCCCCCGATGGTTGGCTTTAGTTCTCTTCCCATTGACACCAATCACTCAATCAACCGATCAATCAATCACTCACTCACTCACTCACTCACTCACTCAGTCGGCCAGCCAGCCAGCCAGCCAGTCAGTCAGTCAGTCACCCAATCAATCAATCAAATCAATCAAATCAACCAAGCAATCAATCAACAAATCAAATCAACTTAAGTCAACTCAAATCAAGCAATCAGATCAAGCTAAACCCGATCAAATCAATGAATCAAGCCAGTGTTGGGCCTGCTCAAATCCCACATTTTGCTTTTGCCTTTGCCAAACCAACATGTTTTCTGAGATGTGTCTTCTTCAAAACCTGCCAATCAAACCCAGGCTCCCCAGGTTCGCAAATGACTTCAGGGGTCCCGTTCCCTGCCTCCCCCTCCCCGGAAAAAAAGATAAAAAAAAAAAAAAAAACGGCCGTCCCCACCAAACAAAAAGAAGAACAAGAACCATATCTGGGCTAGCCTCTAACTTTTAGTGGGTTAAATGGAAACTACCACTAAACACCAAAAAGCTAAAAGGCTAAGGGGATGGCTGGGAGCCACCATCTATTGGGTGCTTATTTTCTTGCCGAGCGGCTTCATGCAGAGAAGCAGCACGAAGAGCACCGAGCCAACGTAGACGCGGCCGGATTCAATGGCAGCTATGGACAAGAGCAGAAGGCCGTAGAGCATTCCGTTGTATTGGAAGTGCCTGCACTTGGGCGTATGGTTTCGGATTGCTCTACTGATCCCTGGCAAGGGAAAGTGAAGGACACCAAACGAAAACTTGCTGCCGACAGGGTGCCGGGAACCCTGCTTGGCTAAATTGCTGGGCCTCCCTATGTTGACACATAATTGGGCTCCTCCAAGTGCACAGTTGTGTTGTTTCTTGTCAGCACTTGGGTGTTCGGCCCAGTTGGGAAGTTATAACCTAGTATTTGTACCCCACTTGTAAGTCATACCAACCTAGCTGAAGATCCAAGGTACTGTAGATGGACGAAATCCTGCACCCAAGAAACCCTGGAATGATTCGATTCCCTTGTAAATACCAACCAACACTGGTTTCAATCATGGTCTCATTTCGTGGTGCGAAAGGATTTCGTCCATGCACAGTATGAGCCAGGGTTGTGGGATCAAGGGGTTTCTCCCCACTTCTGTGATACTTTTGGGAATCCCCCTTGAGATGAAGGAAAACCGTCTTTGGGGTTAGGCCCTTTCTGTTGTATCACAGAAGTGGATTCCATTCCCCACAGCCCTGGTATGAACTATCCCTTGTTTCCTATTCGGCCCGAGTAGGGGATGTTGGAGTGTCCCGCGGCCTGTGGAACTTCGATTCGGGATCCAGATCCGATTTTGAACGGTCGGGACCTCAACCCTGCCCCTTTTTGTGGGGGGGAGGGGTACCATCACCAAACACACACACACACACTTAATTACAGGGCTCCTTATTTGCTTTCGTCCTTTCCAAACAACAACGACAACACAATGAACAAGAATAATAACAACAACAACAACAATAATAACACCAATAATAATAATTAATAACAATAAAAACAAAAACAATGATGATAATATCAGCAATAATAATACTTAATCATAAACAAATGAAACAAACAACACTGAAACATCACCCCGTCCAAAGACGCCAACGGGAACCGCGCCCTTCGTTTGGGTCCTTCCTTCCCCCCCCTCCCCGTATTTCGCCGCATTTTTTTGGTCATCGTGGACGCTGAGCAGCACATGGTCCACCACCAGCAGGCCCGAGTTCCAGAGCAGAGGCACCGCAGCCTGCAGGCCCCCCATGCACCAGGCGCCCAAGACCAAGATGAGGTCGCCGCAGATCACCGAGCACCGCTGGAAGAGGACCTGCTGAGCTGCGGGAGGGGGCGCCGAAAATGCAGTGGCTGGAGGAAATCCACGCACCGATTTCGCACACCTTGGGATAGATGAACCCCCCGTAAATGGGAGAAGCCTCCAACCAACTGGTGCGAAACACCCACGGTAGTTGGTCTGTTGAGCATACCCCGACACCATATGAAGGAATCTTCATCATGCGAAGATTGGTGTAAACTGAAAAGGTATGTTGGTATGTTGGCGGGTTCTTGGAAATTACCCACCACGCATCAAGTTGTGCAGCTTCGTATTGACAGATTTCGGGCTACCAGAAAATAAGTCATACCATTAGGGGGACCTTATATGTTTAGGCGGAAGTTACTCATGTTCATGTTTGAGAGCATTAGCTTTGCTGCACACGTCCCTTTTGCCAATTGCCAAGCTCAATTCCTGCGACGGTTGTTTGCGAGGTCACCCAAAACCCCCTTGAAGTGATATTCCCTTCATTTTGATGAATGTGCTGACTTTTGACCCGGGTGGTGCTGAATCATCACTTCCCTCCTATTTACAAGTCCACCCCTATCAAGACATGATTTTGAGGCTAAAGTCCAAAAAGTCACATCGCCCCGTTTGCGTTTACTTGACCCAATGCTAAGCCAATACTTAACTTCTGACAGTCGGGTTCGCTCGGTACTTTCCTTGTGCAACTGCTTCCCATCAAGATTGGCACTCCGTCTGTGGCCGCTCCCGAACGATCAAACTGGGATCATATGAATTAACAATGTGTGTTTTTGTTTATATTCACATTCATTTCTTTATTCCCAGATAGCTGAAAGCTATAGAAGTTCTAACGTCTAATGAAGAGGGGAACATGATTTGTGAGATTGAGTGCCGTGTAGGGTCCTGGTGCAGGTGCCGTTTCGGGTGATGTTTCAGGTGCTGATGACGGTGCGGGCGTATCTTGCAAGACTGACGGCCGGGTGCTCTGGGAGTGGCTGTTTGTTGCGCTCCTCGGGGGGGTACTAAAACAGGTGCTGGTGCGCATCACCGGCCTAATTGTTTTCGCTATCTGGGGCCTCTGCCGGTGTAACCTTTTCTTCTTTTTTTTGGGGGGGGGGGGGGTGCGGGTGGGGTGGGGGGCTGGGATTCTGGCAGGCGATTTTTGCTTTTTGGTGGACCTCCCTACAAAAGGCATACGATGCGTGCAGAAGAATAAAAAAAAAGAAGGTACCAACTCCACACAAATCAATCCGAGCCACCCACGGAAGCCTACCTACAGTCTCCTTACTCTAAATGATGGGGTCATGGACCTATTTTTGATTCGGGTCATGGAGACTCCAGGTACGACCTCCTACCCCGACTCCGGGCTCCGACTTTCTTTTCGCCGAGGCTCGGTGGCTGGACTGCCATACTCCAGGTTCCGCACTTCCAGCATGCCGGGATCTACCCGAGCGGCCGCCTGGAGACCAGTTTTGAAGCCGAACCAAACCTGGACTCTCCATGACCCTTAAAAAAATGGGTCCATGACCCCATTATTTTGGGTCATCACCAACCATTTTAGTAGAGAGGTTAGAAGAATTAAGGCTATTTTAGTCAAAGGGCACTACTCAAAAAACCTAGCCACCACACACAAGCTGGTTGAAAAGAGCGACAATTCAAGCCGCAAATTCCCCAGCCAGACGCTGCACGGTTTCTGGGAAACACTTTGAACTCCAATGAAATTGCAGTGGTTGATCATGTTTGATCTATCTGGAGTCTCCATGACCCTTTTAAATTGGGGTCATGACCCCTTTCTTTTGGCGAATGACCAACCATTTTTCAAGGGTCATGGAGACTCCCTGTACTGGGTAGCTCCAACGACGGGCCTGCGACAGGAGCCACTCGAAGTAGGCAAAGGCGGGCGGGTAGTCCAAGGTCCACTCGGAGGTCGCCTCGAAGTACCACTCGGACATGGGCAGGCTGTGCGTCACCGCGAGCCAGTTCCTCTCGCTCGCGAGGCGCTGAACATTTCAACCATTGGGACCTTCCTGGATCGCCAGTTGCTGTTTTGTTCATCTACTTTACCCCAAAAAACAGCAACAGTGACTGAAAAAAACAGCAACTTGGCTCTCCAGGTTGTTGTTTTTTTAGTGGGGGGAATACTGTGGATGGTTGCGGAATGCATCTCGCACCACGAAACCATGGTTAAAACTATAGTATGTTTGCTGGTATTCACAGGGAACTCGGGTACTTTCAGGCTTTCTTGGGTGGTGCGGACTGGATTTCGCAACCATCCACGATGGTCTTCCAAAGGGTCTACCTGGAGTTCATGGGGTCATGGACCGCTTTTAGGGTCAGAAGGAGAGTCTAGGTACTTCCGGGCCTTTCCGGGCCCTTCCGGCCCACCTGTGAACCTCGAAGTCGGTGGATCGGTAGAGCTGCAGCGGCAGCAGGAGCAGCCGCAGCAGGAAGCCGCCCACCAGCAGCCCCCACATGGCGCGCATGCTGCGCCAGGCCCGGCGCTCGGCCGAGTTCGGGCCCAGGCTGTCTACTGGGCCTCTGGGAAGCCCTGCTAAGTGACTAACTTTTGGTGGTTTAATACGGAAAACTCATTGGTTGGCAAAAAGTCAAAGTCCTAACATCCAAGGCAAAAGTTAAATCTTCTTGCAAAAGCACAAGAAAGAACCCCTACCCCAACTCCCGTACAGCCGGGCCCCAGCCAAGGCCAGGACTTCTGCTAGGCTGGAAGGTGAGTTGACATAGGATGTTCCATTGGGACAGCTTGGTGAAAATTCTTTTACCTGGGGTCAAAACCCCACCATGTTTTTCAGGGCGCTTCGCTGGATTTCACAGCCACAAGGCATGATCTGCAGCGTGAACGTGTCGCTTCATGCTGCTTTGTGGGAAGCGCCTCTGAGCCGAGCGCTGCATCATGCAAGTTTTGGCCCAGGGCGTGCGTCAAAACGGGGCCCCTTTGTCAGCCTCGAAACGGGGCCTCGCATGAAAAAGGGGCCTGAAAAACTTGGCGGGTCAGACCTTCCGGGTCAGAAATGGACCTCGGGGCGCTCTCCCATGAAACCATCTACTTTACCCCAAAAAACAGCAACAGTGACTGAACAAAAAACAGCAACCTGGGGCTATCCAGGTGCCAAGGACAAGCCCCAGATCCTACGATTTCAATAGGTGAGTCATGTCCCCCCGCCCGTGTCTGCAAGCCAAGAAAGACACATGGGGTCCAGCATGCAGCAAAACACCCCTCCTCCCGTCGCATGTTGTGAATTCGAGTGCCACCCAAAACTTGGTTGCTGGCGCGACCCTTCTGCAAAAAGTGTTTAACTGCTTGTGGGAATGGAGCATCCACATTTCTCCTGAAAACATCCATTTTGCTCGTTTGCGATCCGTTGGCAAGTGGGCAAATTGTAAATTTGCTCGTTTGCTCGTCCCCAAACACCAGCAAAAACGGTCAAAGTCAGACGGCTGTGGGTCAACACCAATGGTACCATTTTGGGGTGGATGCACCACCCATTTTAGTTGATTTTAGTGGGGATTTGGATGTTCACTGGGGGCACGGGGTTTTGATCCATGGCCCAGATCCGTTACTAGCTCGCCCGCAAGAGAATTCGCCGCCTTCTCCTCGCTGTCCAGCAGCTTGCGCTGCAAGCTCCGCATCTCCGAGGTGAGTGCTGCGGCCTTCTTAAAACGGCGAGCGTTTTGCTGGCGGCTGGGGGGGTTCCCCGAAAGGAAGCCGAAAGGGTTACTTTTCTCAGAGTTTCTTTTCTTTTTAATCCAAGAGAACAATGCCAAGAAATGCCTGACATATCCTTCGTTTTGGGAACTCTCTCCCACTAACATGGCATGTGACAGGGGGTCCCTCCAAGAGGAATTGGATCTTTCAGATACTCCCACGGATGCCATGTTAGTGGATTTAGTGGGAGGGAGGGTGTCCTTTGTTTTTGGCTGGTCAGGCACGAGGTTGAGGTAGAAAAAACGCCTAGGAAGCCAGAAAAAACAGGATTTGTTTTTTGGGAGGGGGAACCCTCTTTTGGTCGGCTTTAAAAAGAAACCGCACAGAAAACCGAAGCCATTTTGGAGTCCCCACAACAAAAATACCCCCTCAACAAAAAGGGATGGATGAGTTTACTTCTTCCAGCCAATGGGAAGGTAGTGGATTGCTTCGTCATCACCGATTCCGGTATCGGCACTAGACGATACACCGACCCAGAAAGTTGGCGCAACTATCAGAAACAACATGATTGCTCATTTCCCTTAGGTGGCTTCCCCACATTTCCTATTTCGCGCCCCTCTACCACTCCATCTAGCAGCCCCTTGCCAGCCAAACAGGTGCAAAGAGGAAGTCCCACACAACGCACACATCTGATACTGTGGCCGAAATCCTGCATCAATCACCCAAGAATCCCCGGAATGACTCGATTCTGCTCTTTTCTTCACACCAACAAACGCTATGGTTGAAAAACCACGGTTTCAACGTTCGAAATTCCCCCTGTTAATACCACATTCATAGTTTCATGGTGCGAACTGGACTTTTCGTCCGTTGACAGCCAGGAAACCCCAAGCCCCGGTGTCTCAAGCTCTGCTTTGGGACACCAGTTTGCTTCATCTCTGTGGTCCCCAAAAATGGCAAACTCACGCATTCGGATGGCCGGCAAAAAAAAGGAGGCCCAAGCCTTCTATACAAGTCTATATACCGCTCCCCTACAAGTGACTAAAAAGTCCAAAAAGTGGAGGCTGGGTTTCTGTTTTCCAAGGCTGTGCAACAGTAACCGCAAGGGTTCCCGCGACAGGCTACTGCTCAACTCTTGCAGTGAGGCTTCCGTTGACATCACATCCGCGGGCTCGGCTCGATGGCATCGCCTGCAGCTGGAGCTCGAGCTTCTCGTCTGTCTCGGCCCTTCAGCGCCCACAACCCACGCGGTCTCTCAATGCAAATTGGGTTCCTGGAGCTCCCCTTTGTCCCGGGTGGGGGTGGCTCTGGCTCAAACTGTCCCAACATCTTGGCAAATGGAACCAACCACTCAAACCTGCGAAACCCTGCCGTCATTTTGAGCCACACCCGGGTTGGACTACAAAGCCAAACCCAAAAACCAGGACCCCATGTCTTGCGTTGGTGCCAGCCCCCATGCGCCCAAAAGGCGGGGTGTGCTCATCTTCGGACTCCGAGGCGGAGCTGCGCTGCAGCCTCGGCGGCAAGTCTCTCTTGCAAAGCCCGGCTTTTCGGTTTTCGACCTACGCCAGGCGGCATAGGGGGGAAAAACAAAGCTGGAGTCTCCATGACCCTTAAAAAAAAAAAACACCCTTAAAAAGAAAAACAAAACAAACAAAAACACGAGCAGGGCAGAGTCGACCTATGCCGGCCTAGGACAAACATGGCGAAACGACCATGAAACAAATGATCCGTGACATGAAAAGAACACGAGCAATGGAATTGCAGTGTTTCATCATGTTTGATCTATCTGGAGTCTCCTTCTGACTTTTTAAAAATGGTTGGTCATGACCTCTTTATTTTGGCGAAATGACCAACCATTCATGGAGACTCCAGGCAGTGACATTGCAGATCAAAACATGGTGGCACCATAGTTGAAACCATTCGGTTGTGGGTATTTACAGGGGTTCTTGGTGCGAAATGGACTTGATCCATCCACAGTACCTCCCCGCATGTTTAACAATGATTGAAACAACCTGCTTTGGGTCTCCCTGTTGCCCAAAGGTTTGTTTCGCCAAACCCTAAGCCTGGCAAAAGGGCAGGACGCCAACATTCGCATCCCCTACATCACTTTGGGGGCGCGGATGTGGAAATAGAGTAGGCAAAAACTAGAAGGGCCAGTTCACTCAACTTCTCAATCAAAACCGTACTTTCTGGGAGGCTTGAGCAGGCCCCCATGGAGCGTGAAATCCATCTGCTTGGCGGCCCCCCGTTGGGGCCAAGGTGGCTCAAAGGAATTCAGCAGCAAATTATTGTGCGATGCATCCATTTCTGAGGTACTCAGCGGTAAGATGCTTCGGCGCCTGGCTCGTGTTGCTATGTGTCTGTTTTGCGCATGTAAATGGACTGGCTTTGCTATGGGCTACCGTCGTAGACCGAGTTGTTGTACACTCATGGCTGTCGAAGGTGACTTACTCTGTTTACCTGTTTGAATAGGCTCAGCGCTACTAGGTTTGTCTGGGGGTCTGAGTGAGGGGATCATTGTTGTTGGCCCGCAACATGTCCCGCCAAAACGTGCCTCACATCCAACTCCACCATTTATTGGACTTCATGCGCCAGGGATTTACCCACAGCACAAAAAACCTTGCCCCACATCGGGGTACACGGAAAAGATCAAGTTCAGATTCGCTTGCGTCCCATGCAAACCCAGGAATTAACACTGCAAACCAATGTTTCTAAGCACAATTTGGTGTTTTGCGTTGGAGACACCGGACTTGGTGGGCCCTTTGTGGCTCCCGTTTTCGGCCTTCGGCGTTGACTTCTTCGGGGGCCCGGGCTCGAGGCGCCTTAAGTCCTCCTCGAGGCTTTGGTTGGCCGTGAGCAACTCCTGGCCGGTGAAATCTAAACTGGAAAGAACCATGCGGTTCTCCTTTGGTACCTGGGGCATAAGCAAAAAACCCATCTAAACCAGTGGAATCCGTCGAGTTTCCGAGCAGGCCTTTTGGACGAGAACAATCCATGTCTCCCCTCCTATGGTTGCCAGGGGCCAAGACTTGGACCCCTGGAAATGGAACCCGAATGAACCCTAGGCTGCAATAGACCCCACTGGTCGCTATTAGCCGTTGGGATGGGGGGGCCCTATTGCAACCACAGGACCCCCTGATGCCTGGAATGGAACCCATCTAAACCAGTGGAACCAATCTATTTCTATGGAAAAAAAGACCTGTGCTCCTGGCTTTGGCTGTTGGCCAAATGCCCGAAGGTGGCATCTGAGGTGCTATTTTTTTTTTTACAGCTATCCTTTTGGGGTCAGGTGACCCTAAAGGTGGTTTGGATTGGACTGGATTTGGATTTGCCAAATTGGAGGCAATGGGAAACATGCGAACCTAACCGCAAAACCAACGCAAACCCCAAGTGGAACGAAGCTGAATTTCGGCTAAATAATTAGAATAGGGTTCAACCTTGAAACCAACAACAACAGGGGGATACCATGCCATCTGGAAATACACTGGAATACCATTAGTCCGTTGAATCCAACTCGCTGACATAGAAAGTGACTGGGCGGAAGAGAAAAGGGACACCAGCTACTTTGGGGAGGTCCTCTAAAGAAAAACGCAACCATAACTTACCCCTTAAAACTCCAAGCCCTGACAAAGTTAATCTTTTACAGACATATGGCCCATGTTACCCCCAAAAAGTTGAAAAGTTGTGTTTTAAAGAGGTAAGATAACAAAGGTGGAACAAAACAAACCTATAGCAAGCACGCCTGCCACCTTTTTTCCGAAGCGCTTCGAATCCTCCACCAGCGCCGTCTTGCTCCGCGGCCCCTGCCGGCGCCTACGGCTTGCGTCGGGGGTAGGGTGCCGGCTAGGTCTAGAAACATGGGAACATTTGGCTGTGGCT